GGCTCAGGGAGAGAGACCTGCCTTCTCTGCCTTTCTGGCTCCTTTGTGACATTTGCTCTGGGTCCTACACAGGGTAAATTCTGGCAGACCATGGGCTTCTCAGAGCAGGGCCGGCAGCGGCTTCACCCCGAAGAGGCCTTATATCTGCTGGAGTGTGTGAGTGGGGCCCCTGGGCGGTGAGGGAGGGTTGGGACCAAGGAACCGAAAGGACATGTTTTTATTGGAGAAAAAGTGTAGATGCAGAGGAGTATTCAAGAAGCTTGTAACCTGAATTCCAGAGCCGGAGACGGGAATACCGTGTAGAGAGCAAGGATTCCAGTCCAAAGCAGTGGTGCTGCCCTCCTTTCCCAGTTGGCCATATTCTTGCTGTGTGATGCTGGGGGCGGGGAGGGGAGAGGGAGCCCATATATCCCAGCCTGGAAGTTGCCCCACTGGGTGTGCCACCACAGCCACAAGGTGAGCTGTTGACCCCACTTCCAGGGCTCCATCCAGCTTTTCCACCAAGACCTGCCACTGTCTATTCAGGAGGCCTACCAGCTACTGCTGACTGAGGACACCATGACTTTCCTGCAATACCAGGTATCTGCCACCCTCTCCCAGGAGAGGAGTCACCCATCCACCAAGTCAGTGAGGATTTGTAAGTACCCATGAGGTTCTAGACAGGACAGGCGAGGGCTCTGCTCTCATGATGCTTGCTTGCATCCTAGCGGCAACGGGTAACAAGTGAGCAAATCAACTGAACGATTTGACTTCACAGAACCAAAGGCTAGGAAGAAGACAGCGCAGGGTAACAACCCAAGGCTAGAGACAAATGTGGACATCACGAGCACATGGATGGTGTTTAAAACCACAGGGCTGTATGGGAGTGTAGCCAGAGTAGAGAGCTGTCTGAGACCTGGAGCACTCTGGTGTGAGGAGATGGGGTGTGGGGGCGGGGAGAACCAGAAACAGGGACTGAGGAGTGTCTGACAGCCCAGGAGAAAAACCAGGAGGGGTGGTATCATAGAGGCCGAGAGAAGGACAAAGTGGGTGGCTGTGTTGAGGCTGCTGAGAGATCAAGCAGGATGGGGGCACTCCTGTATACATCTCTCTGATGCGGGCATTAGAACACAAGGATGGACATGGGGTTCTTTACCAAAAACCACTCCTACTGTACCCCTGTCTGTGGAGGTGTAGGGCTGAGTGGCAGGGGTGGGGGGTGGGCTGTTTACCACCTTTGCCACCTTCTTGTTCCCGTTGTAGTCAGGAGCTTCACTCTGGACAGCTCTGGTATCATAACGTTCTAGGGTGTGGTTCTTTTTCTGCTTCATCAGCTATTGTTTTTTGGGGATTCCACACTTAAATCAAGAAAGTGCTAAATGTTATTTGTGCCCAGAGTAAGGTAAGCAAGAGACAGGAATTCAGAGACTGAGACCTTTGTTTGGGGAGGGTGTGTATAATGGAGTATGGTCCAACCCATGCCAGGGTTTGGAATCGGGGTGTGCAGGAGGGGCAGGGGAGGGGGGTGGGGAATGGCTCCCGATTGGAGGAACCATTTGGTGTTTTCAAAAGTGGACGTCTGATCTTTACTTTTTCTCTTTGAGGTCTTCAGCCACCTGAAGAGACTGGGCTATGTGGTTCGACGATTCCAACCAAGGTAAATCCCGATCCCATCTTCCTCCCGTTTGTTCTAACCCTGGGACCTGGTAGACAAGCCCCAAAGTGGAAAATGGCCTCTCCTTGGCTGGAGACATGGGCTCTGTTGGAAATGCTGTATTGAGAGGCGCGTTGGGACAAATCTGGGTCATTTCAGCTTATCCCGGTCTATCACATTGAGCCCCATCTTCAGCCTGTTCGCTCCACAGGTAACAAGTGAACACTTGCAGCTCACGACAGGTCCCTGGCATGTAGCTGTAGCACTAGAGCAGTGCCTTAATCGGGGTGCGAGCACACTTGATGAGGGCGTGCCTGAATGAAGGACCAAGTGAGGAATTAACAGTTGAGTTGGGTCTCACATACCTTTTGCCAAGTTAGATGTTCTTTCTTTCTGGGGCCTCTAAAGATCATCACCTTAGTAGCCCAGCGTTACTAAGAGTCATAGAGATGATCAGCCTTAGAGTGGAAACTGGTACAGCCTTCACTGGTTCACAGTACGTCGCGAAAGCTCTGGGACAGCCATGTCCTTTCGTTCCTGAAAGTGGGATATATCCTAAGGAAATAGTCACAGATGTGTGCATAAGTTCACCTGTGAGAATGTTCAGTCATTTGACAATACTTGTTGATCGCTTGCTGGGTGCCAGGCCCCGGCTCATTGCTGAAGAAAAGCAAAATCACTGCCCCCACAGAATTTGCATTTAGCGGGGACCTTACATGAAGCATCATCACTTTGCAAAATGGTGAACTTGGAAACATCCTGTGAGTTCGACGGGGAAGGCATGGTCACACAAATTATAGTTTATCCTTTAGAGCGGCACTGTCTGGTAGAACTTTCTATGGTGATAAAAACAGTCTATGTCTACGCCATCCAATATATGTGGCTTTGCAACTGTGGGACTGAATTTTTGTCTAATTTTCATGGATTTAAATTTAACCTTAATGGCTCCTTGTGCCTAGTGGTGGGTACCATTTGGACAGTGGAGTCTTAGCGCCACAAAAAATCATGGCAGGGAAGAATGCTATAGTGGTAAGGGGCCGTGTCTGTAATATATATTCTTAAGTATAAAAAAGACTAAATAGCAGTATGTTAGTACAATGTCATTTTTTGTAGAAAAAAACATATGGAGACAGTATGTGTGTTACAGGGGTATCTGTGGTTTTGTTCATTTTTATTTTTCTGTATTTTCCAAGTTTTCTAGTTCTCTTGATTTTTCTCACCAGTGATTAATCATTTATTGCTGGCTCTGCAGGAGCCCGGGTTCCAGTAAGTCTCTGTTCAGAGGTGCCATTGGTGAGACCCAGAGGCCTGGGCAAAGATGCATGGGCAGGCCCCTGTGATTGCCCCCATTCAGCTCGCTTGCAGGTCTGCCCAGGGCCTTTGCCTTGGCGTGTGGCTTTGACCCTGGCCCACCGACTTGTTCCTCTGGGCCAGTCCCTCACAGATTCCACTGGGAACTCCAAAGTGAGGAAGTCGATCTGTTGCCTACCCAATTCTCAACCCCACAGCTCCATCCTGTCCCCTTATGAGAGACAGCTGAACTTGGATGGCAGTGCCCTGTGCTTGGAGGATCGGAATGGCAAGAGGAAGAGGAGGAGCTCCAGCTCTCGGTAATGCTCCCCATGTGGCCACACACACCCCCAGGGAGTTCTGGGGAGCGGAGCTGTTGAGGGAATGCTCATTTTAGGAACCCTGGAGAATGCATTGTCTTAAGAGCTGGGTTTGGGCGGCTCCCTTGTAGGACCCTGGAGGCAGTAGGCGTGCGTGGGACGTGTGCACTTCAGCAATCAGGAGCAGATGTGCTGGATTTCCTCCCCACGTCCCTCAGGTCCATTAATAAGAAGGCCAAGGCCCTGGAGAATCCCCTACAGGGGGTGGATGAGACAACTGAGAGCCTGACAACCTCCAGCCCACCTCCCTGCAACCAGAACAGCCGATGCCCAGAGGAGAAACCTCAAGAGTCAAGCCCTGTAAAGGGTCCAACGGGTCCCTCTCTGCTTTTGGGAGCCCTGGAGCCCTGGCCTGGCCTGGCCAACGAGGGGGGTGGGTGCAGCCAGCAGAGTGGCAAAGTAGAGAATGGGGTCAAGGGGGTTCGTAAGCCACGCTGGAACTTTGAGCAGATTTCCTTCCCCAACATGGCTTCAGACAGCCGCCACACCCTCCTGCTGGCCCCAGCCCCAGAGCTGCTCCCGGCGAACGTCGCTGGGCGGGAGACAGATGCTGAATCCTGGTGCCAGAAGCTGAACCAAAGGAAGGAGAAGCTCTCCAGGCGAGAACGGGAGCAACAAGCAGAAGCCCAACGCTTCCGGGAAGATGTAAACGCAGATCCCGAGGTGCAGTGCTGCTCCAGCTGGCAGGAGTACAAGCAGCTGCTGCAGCGGAGGCACCTGCAGAAGAGCCAGAGCCGCCCCGCACACCTGTGGGACCAGCCGGTCCACCCCTTGCTGAGTCCTGGCCAGGCAGACTCCCCAGGTACCCCCTCACCCTGCCATAGCCCCACAGGCCCCTGGCAGCTGAGGCATCCTAACGCTTTGAAAGGGGGTATGGATTGACCACGACTAATTGAGGCTTAAGAAAGATGGGACCGAGAGAGCTGTCAGTGGAGTGGAACCCACAAGGACAGTCTGTTCCGGAAAGCAACAAAAGGACCCACGTGGGAAGGTTTGGAAATGGCAAGTCTGTGTCCGGGGAGAGGCCAGGAGGAATGAAAACTACAACTAGAGCCTTAAAAATAATAAGATGCACGTGGATGGCTCTGCCACCAGCTAGCTGTGGTCCCCTGTTCTCCCAGCTCTGTTAGAGGAGAACAAGGAGGTGCCATCTTGGCCAAATAAAAGGAAGGCTTACTGTGTATACCCTGCACATTTAAGGACAGGGAACTGAGCACTGGGTGTTGTACATAAGTGATGAATGACTAAATTCTACTCCTGAAGCCAATATTACACTATATGTTAATGAACTAGAATTTAAATAAAAATTTGAAGGAAAAAAATAGGGAACTGACAGGGCAACAACTATATTAACAGATTCAGGAGACTGTGATCTTTTATAAGAACATGGGAGATTCCAAGTAACTAGATTAGGTTTGCCAGATGAGTTCAATTTGACTTTCAGATAAACAGCTAACTTTTTTTTAGTATAAGTATATTGCAAATATTGCATGAGACATACCTATAATTAAAAAAAAAAACATCTAAGTCCGGCAACCGTAAACTAGATGGCAGATTCAGAAATGTCAGAGGAGTCTGTGGATGGTGGACTTCTCACCCCAACACGTTGTTTTCTTTTTTTTTTAATGGCTATTTATTTATTTAGAAAGAGAGAGAGAGAAAATGTGTGCAAGCAGGGGAGGGGCAGAGAGAGAGGGAGATACAGAATCTGAAGCAGGCTCCGGGCTCTGAGCTGTCAGCACAGAGCCCAATGTGGGGCTCAAGGTCATGAACCGCGATATCATGACCTGAGCTGAAGTCAGACGTTTAACCAACTGAGCCACCCAGGCGCCCCTCCAACATCTTATTTTGACCTTACGTCCTTACAGCCACAGTGCTTCAACATATCTCTGTGCTGCAGACCACACACCTCGCCGATGGAGGTACATGGTGAGTTTCCAGGTAGTGCCTGTCTCCATAGCACCTGGGCTGCCAGCAGGGGTTGGCAGCTGGGATTTGACTCCTAAAGTTGGGCATGAGCTGGGGGATCATTCCAGGGACCCTTAGCCTGGCTGACATTCTAGGGGAGAGGGAGGGATGAGTGGCAAGAGGTAGATTTAGCCCGAGGGTTGAGATAGGCAGCTGAGCCTCCCTCTGCCTAAGTGGCACCTCACAGCAGGACCTCAGTTCCCCCTGGAGGAGGCCTCTTCCTGGAACTGGAGGAGGAAAAGCAAGGCATGGAAAGGAAAGGGGGAGGAGTAGGAGATTCCCTGTTTCTTAAGGTTTCTCACTCTGTCTTCAGGTTGCTAGAGAAGTCTGGAGGCTTGGAGATCAGCTTTGACATTTACCAGGCTGATGCTGTGGCCACATTCCGAAAGAATAACCCTGGCAAGCCCTACGCCCGGATGTGCATTAGTGGGTATGAGACCATTGAGCCCTACCCTCAGGTTATTGCCAGTTCTCTTGTAAACCAAGTGGACGTCCTCTCCATGTCCCTGGGCAGTCTGGCAATCTGAAAGAAACCAGAGGTCCAGAGAGCCGTGACTGACCCAGGTCCACACAGCCAGTTAGTACTACAGGAACTGGAGCTTTCCCAAATCCTCAGCCCTTATTCCTGGCGTTTTTGGTAGTCTCTCTCCTGTGCCAATGTAGTGCAGGGCTCACCCAGTCGGAGGGATATGAATCAGAGGGATTCACAGGCTAAGAGTGGTGAGAACCTTACTTTTCGTAGCCCCCTCATCCACCCAAGGCCCTGGGTTGCTCTTGGAGAACTTACCAGAGCTATGCAGTTTGCAGACAGGAGACTCCAGCGCCAGACTTCTTGTACCCCCAACTCCTGTCTTACCATCTCCCTTCCCTGGCAGCCTCAGAGGGCTGGGTCTCAAAGCTTATGGTTGCCTATGTCTCTGTCTAACTTTATCCCTACAGATTTGATGAGCCAGTTCCAGATCTCTGTACCCTCAAGCGGTTGTCCTACCAGAGTGGGGACGTTCCTCTGATCTTTGCCCTGGTGGATCATGGAGACATCTCCTTCTACAGCTTCAGGGACTTCACGCTGCCCAGGGATCTGGAACACTGATCACACCGCTCTGGCAGGGCTTGGGACCTGCCCTGGGGAACCTGGACTGTCTACTCTCAGGGACCATCTCAGCTGCCTCCTATACCCAGACTCTGACCTGTAGCTTCAGGAGCTAGTCTGGGCCTTGGCCCTGGGTGTCTGATGCTTGCAGGAGAAAGATGCCATGCCCCCTACCTGGCTTCCATAGCCCCATGCCTGAGATCGCTGCCTTGCAGTGATCCCCTTGGAACTCAGGACTAGATTTCAGAGACCCAGCGGGGTGGGGCAGAAGAGAGGACTCTGTGCCTTTAAATGAGAGGGTGCCTGCTTCGTGCGATAAAGCCAAAGCCATTAAAAAATAGATCCATTTTCTGCTGTGACTGGAGATAGTGAACAAGTCCCCAGCCCGATCCTGGGAGTGCAGAATAACACTCCGTCTCCCTCCATCGTGTGGTCCGTGGGAGCTATCCCCCAAGGCTTTCACCTCTGCTTTGCAGACCCACAGACAGCGAGGCCTTCTCTGGTGCAGAAGCAAAGAGAAATACTGGGGAGGGCAAGAACGCGACCCCGCACCTTTGTCAGGGCCTGCAGCCAGGGGACGGGAAGTCACAGACCTAGTCTTTTCGGCTTACTGCATGGCAGTCCGTAGAGGGAGGCTGGCCTCGATGGGGCCTTCCCTGAATGCAGCAGAATCTGGGCAGAAGGGCGGCGGAGAGGCACCATGTCCGTGTGGCTTGAACCCTGGCGGCTTCGAGTCGTGCTGTGTGTGGAGTCTGCTATTCGTGTCCCCGGCCTCCGCGCCCCTTCCGTTCGCCCTTCCTCGCTCCAACCCGCTCGCCCTTTGTGCTAAAAACTCTGGTCAATGTTGCTGTCTGTCCCTTGGGGCATCGGACACCTTCCTGCCTCAGCAGCGACTCAGAAGACGGGAGTCCAGGCTTGGGGCCCGCTCCGAGAGGAGGCGCCTCGCGGCGACACCCCAGTCCCCGGGGCCACCACGCTCTAGGGCCCCGAAAGCTGGCCTTCTGTCCGCGGGTCACCGGCTCTGAGTGGGCTGGGTGTTCTCGGGAAGAGCCGGCCTGGCTACGCCCCTCCCACAGCCGCTTAGGGCCGGCGTGGGGGAGGGACGGTTCCCTTCTGCGGTCCCGCCTGGGAGGTGGCTAGGACAGCGGCGCGTCCCAGGGACTATTTCCTCCTCCCGGACGCGGCAGGACACTGGGCGCGGCGTGCGTCGTGAGTCCAGGTGATCGCAGGTGAGGCCGGGGGGCGGGCCGGCAACGCCTCGTGCATATTCACGCGGGCAGCGGTCCCGCCCCCCCGCCTTCCCCCGGGACGTGGATTGGCCAGAGAGCGGCCACCGCCCGCCTCCCGAGGGCGCCCTCGCTGCACTCCCGCCCCGTCGGCGCAGAAATGCAGGGGGCGGGGCCAGTCCCGGGGGCGGGCCGCTGGGGCCCGGCGCTCGCGGCCCCGCAAGCCCTCCCGGCTCGCCCTTTATGTAAATAGTAGCGGCTCCGCCCCCTGCTCGCCGCGCCGGAGGTGAGCAGGAAGGAGACGGCCGCCCAGCAGCCCGTGGGCCGGCGGCGGAGTGAGCGGAGCCGGCGGCGGGAGCCGTGGGACGCCGAGGCCTCGGGCGGGGGCCGGCCTGGGGCTCCAGGTGAGGCGCGGGCCCGGAAGCACCTAGCCGGGTCCGCCCCCTCGGGGCGCCCTCCACTTGGGGCGGGAAGGTTGGGGAGGGCCGGGACCCCTGGTTTCACGGAGCGGGGCGGGGAGAGCTGTACAGGTCCGCTCGCCTAGCCCTGGATCCCGTGGCTCCGTTCGTCTGGGAGAAAGACACCTGTAGGACTTGCGGCTGGAAACTTTTCTGTCTGATCCGCGTGCGTTTCCACGATTTGAGCTTCGGAATTGCCCAGTAGCGTTGGCTTGGGGAAACGGGGAAACAAGTGCCCGGCCGTGCTGTGAGTGCAGGAGGTCACCGCCGGCGGGGGTGGGATCCCCGGGCCTTGGGCCCCACGTGCAAGGCGCCTGGCCCAGGAGGCCGGCGACGCGCGTCTCAGGTAGCCCGCTGTCTTCGAGCAGCGGCCGGAGCACGTTACCTCGGCGGCTTAGTCCCTGCCCCTGCCATCTGGGCCCACTCCCGGCCGGCCCTTTGTGCCTCCTAATCCCCGGACGCAGGAAGCCCGCGGGAGGGACTTTGGTCTCTGGGCCTTTCTCCGCGTCTGGCGGCTTTGGACACCTTTAAGGGAACGTTTGGAGATCCGGTAGGTTTTCCACAACGACGCGGGTGGGGTTGCGTTGCGATACGTCGGGACTTGGTGAGGAGTGAAAAATATGGTCTTGCCAAAGCGTGCAAAGTGTGCTCTCGGTTTGCCCCCGCTGGACACTTTGTACACACGCGCAGCTTTGGCAGTGAGAACTGACTAACCAGGAGAACCGTGGCGTGGCCCCCTCAGTCTCTCACCTGAGATACGAGGAGCTTTGGGTGAGGCGGCGGGCCTTGGACTCCGGGCCCCTTCCCGTGGGGATCATGTGCCAGATGCAGGGCGTCTGAACCGGGGCTCTTGGGCTCTTGGGATCTTACGCAGAGTTTACAACTCAAGGTCCTGTCAGGCCGCAGAGGGGATTGTGAACAGGGAGGGGAGCTGGGAGGGAATGAATGTCAGGGATATGGGAACCCCCAGGTGGGAAGAATGAAGAGGTAGTCTAGAATAGCTGTGGCCCAACCCGGGGTCACAAGGGCTTTCCAGGAAGACAGTCTGTTGTCTGTGTGAGCTGAGGCATTGGGAAGGGTCCTCGGACACATGGTCCCACTTCTTTATCTTATCTGGTTTTCTTAAGTGATCTGCCCACAGTGCTTACCTATGGCAGTCAAGACTCTAACCCAGCTCTGGGGGCTCTGACCGCTGCTCACTCCTCTTCTCCAAAGTTAGACTAGGCCAATCTCTGTGGGGGCCGATGGACAGTGTTTCCAGTGTCTGAGGTCAGCCTGCTTCCCTACTGTTCCTTGAGTCAATGGAGTGTCCCCTTTGGTGGCAAAATAATATAATTTCAATAACTTCATAATTTAGCACTTAGGAACTTTTGAATACAATGGCATTAAAAGAATAAAAAGGCCCGTAATCCCAGATGAACGGTTAGTTTAAAAAATTAAAAAGGCGGTAGGAGCCTGGGACACCTGGGTGGCTGAGTCGGTTAAGCGTCCGACTTCAGTTCAGGTCATGATCTCGCGGTCAGTGGGTTCGAGCCCCACATTGGAATCTGTGCTGACAGCTCACAGCCTGGAGCCTGCTTCAGATTCTGTGTCTCCCTCTCTCTCTGCTCCTCCCCCTCTTGTGCTCTGTCTCTCAAAAATGAATAAACGCTAAACAAAAAATTAAAAAAACAAAAGGCAGTAGGAGCCCATTGTGGGGAAAGTAAAACGTTTTAGAAAGTGTAAAATAGGGGCGCTTGGTGGCTCCTTGGGGCTCCTGTTAAGTGGGCTCACTGCCCAGGTCATGATCTCGTCCTGCGTGAGTTCTGAGCCCCGTGTCGGGCTCTGTGCTGACCTCTCAGAGCCTGGAGCCTGTTTTGGATTCTGACCCTCCCCCGTTCATGCTCTGTCTCTCTCTGTCTCAAAAATAAATAAACGGTAAAAAAAAATTTTTTTTTAAATTAAAAAAAAAAAGTGTAAAATAGTCTGACGACATAACATCCACTGGATCTTGTCTTATCTCAGAAAGTGTAAGATAAGAGGCATAACTCCCTCTTGCCTGACAGTCTTTTTCCTTAAACATGGTGTTAAGTTTTTGTGTCTTTCTGGACAGCAGGTGTAGTTTTGGATCATGCCCATGATTTCTTTTGTTACATATACATAATCTGGCTCAATACTTTCAGTCCATGCCAAGCCCCATGAAGCCTTATTGGACAGGAGAATGAAAAATGTCACGTAATGTCACAGGGCTTATAGTAGGCATAGGGGTGTGTGTGAAAGGTTTAAATTTTATAAAGCAAGCAAAAGCGTGTCACCTGGCCTCTAGCAGACTCTGAGCCTTTTGGACATGCTTGATGAGTTGAGAGGGAATTTGGCTTCTTTGTCCAGACGTCAGCTGAGAAGCCCTGATTTTTTTTTAAATATTTTATTTTATTTCTTTTAAATTTTAACATTTATTCATTTTTGAGACAGGAGGGCAGAGAGAGAGGAAGACACAGAATCGAGCAGGCTCCAGGTTTGAAGGTCAGCACAGACCCCAACACAGGGCCCGGAACTCATGAACCATGAGATCATGATGTGAGCTGTAAAGTCAGGTGTGACACTTAGCCACCCCAGGCTCTAAGAGGTCCCATTTTGAAAGCCCTGGAAGTCAGAACTTTTAAAAAAAGTGTCATTCTTTGAAACTAGGGAGTGCAGAGGGAGAGGACAGGCTCTCTTGCACCACCCTATGCTTCTGTGGCCCTTGGTACTTCCCCCGCTCCCCTGAAAAGCCAGAAGTGAGGCATGGGCAGCCAGACCCCAGCTGGGGGCCTCCCGAGTAAACAGGGTATACACCCACCTTTTTGAGCCTGCAGTGAGGGCTTTGGCTGTATGCTGCTGAGCACCCCTCAGTTGGAGGTGAGAGGATCAACTACATTCTTGTGCTGCTCTGCTTAAGGAGCTTAACTCCATGGTGCTTCTTTCAACTTCAAGTAGGAAGCGCGTCCGCCTGGCCTCCCCAGCCCCAAGTCTCTGTGTCTGTCCCCCACTCCCACCCCCCCCTCCAGTTCTCCCCCCCACCCCCCCACCCCCCCCCACCCCATAGAGAAGTGGTACCTGAGCTAGAGTGTGGAGCTTCTAACAGTCTGTAAATTAATTTACTCCACCCTGCTATCCCGTCTAAGCATACCGGGCAAGCCCTGAAACCTGTGGGGTTCAGCCCTTGGTCCTTCCAGCGTGTGAGGGCAGCTGCTGAGACACCACCTGAGGGAGGCCCAAGAGGCCCATGGTCCCTGCTCCTGGGTTGGCTGCCGTGAGCAGCACTGGCCGCTCCGGGATTCTCTCTGAGCAGCACTCC